GTTAGGTTTAGTGTATAGATCTAGCCTACTTTTGTAAGCTTTAGTTCTAATGGCAGCTTAGTTTTCAGAGCCCTTTCAATGTTATTCTGATATGCTTTATATCTCTGGTACTGCTGGGAATCCTGTTCAGTCCCTGGTGGTGTTGTCTGCAAGAACAGAAAGATTTTGTGGATCCCCAGTGTAGCTAGGCCACCTCCCGTGGGATGGGGGAGGCACAAGCCATTGAAGTACATTTAGCTTCACTGAGATACAGAAGGCACTGAGCATGGATTTCCTTATGCCATTGGGCAGAGGACAGGGAATTGCAAAACTCTGTTAATGGTACCTTTCTGGGTGAATTGATCTGTTGGTTTGTATATCAAGACACTTCCTTTTGCTGTGGGTAATGATACATCAATCATAGAATTCTTTCTGCTACTGCAGCTGGCCAATGAAACTGTTGCTAGGGTGTGGGTTGTAGAGCAGGTGCTAGAACTCCCATTCAGTCTTTTGGGCTTCCCTGCTCCTTGTCTTTTGGCTGGAGAGAGTAGATTTCTCTTGGTGTGTGTGTTTGCACCTGTTAATAGTTCCAGGTTGTAGGCCTGCTGTCCAATGCTCATTATGGGGACATAAAAGAAATAAAAAGAAAACCCACAGACAAACTTCCTGGGAAGATGGTGGAGTAAGAGGATCCTGAGTTTATCTCATCCCAAAGATACACCTAGATAACACCCACATCAGTTTGAATATGACCCGAAGACTGCCAGAACAGACTGTCCACAGCAAAGTATAGAGAAAACTGAAAAATGTAGGAATGGCAGAGATGTGGGCAGGCAGCAAACTGACCTGCAATGTCTGTGGGAGGGAAGGACCCCTGAGGCACTGACAAGGAAGAGGAGCAGAACCCACCTCAGACATCCCAGGCATCCCAGGCATCCCAGGCATGGGGTGCCCACCCTGGGAAAATGAGTCCCCGTAATGTTTGGTTTTGAAAGCCAGAGGGGTCTAACTTCACAAGTTTTTAAATTAGTTGGGCTTAACATCTGGAACTTTAAAAATCAGCTGGCTCAGCTCTGAGAAAGCCAGGAGGATGATAGGAAACTGAGTCCTTGCTCCTAAAGAGATAGTATAACAAACAGCCCTGCTGGTAGGTAGCATAGAAGTGGCAATTTGACAAATGCCTGAGGTACGTAGGAAGATTAATTTGCTAACCTGAGAATACGTGCTGGTGGCCAGGGATCTATGGGAGACTTCTCTAAGAACAAAAGAGCTGGCAGGTAACATTTCCTTCCCCGGCCCCCCAGCATAGATACATGGATACCTGTGGGAAGCAGCAGAGCATGCACACTCTCCACCTAGCTTGCTAACAGCATGCCCTGCCCTCATGCTCTCCTGTGGACCCTCTCTCAGCAGTTCTCCAGAGTGGCTGGCTATAGTTCCTCTCCCACTGCCCGCCAGTAGAAACCTTGCTAACACCACACACCTTCCCCCTTGTTCTCCTTTGGATCTTGCCCCTCCAACATGGCCTGGTAGGTGTTCTCCAAAGTGGTGCCACAAGTGTGACAGTGTGAAGCATCTCCAACAAGGGCTGGCACCACTCCCTACTGACTTCTGCTCTGGGCACAGGGTAAGATAACCATATCAGTTCGACTATGGCTTCAGCAGTGGGCTGGGAGCAGACATCAGATCTGACTGCAGGCCCTGCTCACCAATGACAGCTTCTCAGGAAACAACACAAGGAGAGCACCCTGAAGTTCGGTGCTACTGTGTCTCTGGCAAACACCTACTCTGACCCAATTCAAGCCCAAAGCAGCCCCAGACTGGCCCACTACCAACACGGGAACTAAACTCAGCTCACAGCAGGCAAAGAGAACCTCTGCAGATGACTAGACTGAAGGCAAATGCAGCTCAGCCACAATAGTAGGGCACATGCAACACACATAGGAGACACCCCTGAAGTGCCAGGTTGTAGTGAATGGAGGACACTGCATGGCAGGACACTACAGGACCTCTTCTTCATAAGGTCACCACTTTCATGAACTGGAGACATAGCTAACTTTCCTAACACATAGAAACAGACACAGAGAGTTAGACAAAATAAGGAGACAAAGGAATATGTCCCAGGTAAAAGGACAGACTCACAATAAGAGACCTAAGTAAAACGGAAATAGGTAATATGGCTAATAGAGAATTTGAAGTAATGGTCATAAAGATACTAATTGGAATTGTGAAAAGAATAATGAAACTCAGTGAAACACACAACAAAGAGAAAGAAAACATAAAAATGAAACAATCCAAGATGAAGAACTCAAGTGAAACTAAAAACACACTACATGGAATAAATAGTAGACTAGAGGAAGCAGAAGAATGGATCAGCAACATGGAGGACAGAATAATGGACAGCAATTAAGCCAAACAGGAGAAAGAAAAAATAATAAAAAATGAAAATAGATTAAGGGAACTCAGTGACACCATCAAGCGTAATAATATTCACATTATAGGGATCCCAGAAAAGAGAAAAAAAGGGCAGAAAATTTATCTGAAGAAACAACAGCTGGTTTCAAGATATACAACAAAGTTGTAGTAACCAAAACAGCATAAAATTAGACACATAGTTCAATGGAAATGAGTAGAAAACCCAGAAATAAACCCAAAATTATATGGTCAATTAATCTGTGACAAAGGTGGCAAGAATATCCAATGGGGAAAAGACAGTCTCTTCAACAACTGATGTTGGGGAAACTGCAGAGCTACATGCAAAAGAATGAAACTGGACCACTTTCTTAAACCATACACAAAAATAAACTCAAAATGGATTAAAGACCTACAAGTGAGACATGTAGTCATGAAAATGCTAGAAGAGAGCACAAGTAGTGATTTCTCTAACCTTGGCCATACCAACATTTTTCTTTGTATGTCTCCTGAGAAAAGGGAAATAAAAGCAAAAGTAAACTGTTGGAAGTACATCAAAGTAAAAAGCTTCTACACAGCAAAGGAAACTTTCAATTAACGAAATTAAGACAATCTACCAAATGGGGAAGACATTTGCAAATGACATTCCTGATAAAGGGCTAGTATCAAAATTGTAAAGAACTGATACAACTCAACACCACAAATACAAATACATTAAAAGTCACTGAATTGTACACTTCCTGATCATGAAACAGGTAGATTTTGTGTGAAACTGGTATGTTTTACCACATACACAAAATCAGTAAAAATGGACAAAAGACCGGAGTTCCCAATCTTCTTTATTAAAGAAGAAATGCAGGGACGCCTGGGTGGCTCAGTAGGTTAAGCCTCTGCCTTCAGCTCAGGGCATGATCTCAGGGTCCTGGGACTGAGCCCTGCATCAGGCTCTCTGCTCAGCAGGGAGCCTGCTTCTCCCTCTCTCTCTCTCTGCCTATTTGTGATCTCTCTCTCTGTCAAATAAATAAATAAAATCTTTAAAAAAAATAAAGATATGCAGTTGGCCAATAAACATACAAAAAAATGTTCAGCCTCACTTGTCATCAGGGAAATTGCAAATCAAACTATAGTGCAGTATCATGACATATCTGCCGGGATGCCTGAATGAATGTAAGATTGACAATAACAAGTGTTGGTGAGGATGTGAAGAACTGGAACTCTTACAGTTTGATGAGAAAATGAGGAAACTATTGGATAGTGTCAACGAACTCTGAACAAATGTATATCCCATGATGCAACAATTTCATTTACAAGAATGTTCATAGCAGTACTAATAATAATAGCCAACAATTGAAAACAGCCCAAATGTCCATCACTAGGAAAATAGAAAAATAAATTGTTAGAACAGAATGCTTTATACAGCTGTCAATCTTAAGCTTTTTCTTCTGAAACAGCCTCCTAAAAGCTCTAAGATAAGAACGACTTTGGCAAAAAAAAAAAAAAACAAAAAACAAAAAACAAAAAACTCTGGCATGTCCTAATTGTTGGAAGGAAGTTAGTATTGTAGCACGCCAATAAAACAGAAATGGACTCAAAAGGAGGCCTTATAAGTACCACAGAGCCTGTGTTCTCATGACAAAGAATTGGATTTTTAAATTTCAGTTCCATAGGAAGCTACTTGGGTTTGGTTATAAGTTTGGCTGCATGTGACAGAGACAAAAAAATAATAATGGCTAAACTATATAGAAGGTTAATTTTCTCTTGCATTAAAGTCCAGGCTGGAGTGTAAGCTCTGCTCTGCAAAACCATGACACCACATCCACATTGCAGTCTGAGGAAATGGGAGAATAAAGGGCATAGGTCATGGGCCACCTAGCTTGTAACCTTTCAGAAGCTACTGTATAATACACACTTTTTAAGACAGAATTTAGTTACATTGCATATTCTATAAAAGAGCCTGGGAAATGCAGTGTTTATATTGAGCAGCCTTGTTCTTAACTAAAAAACCATGGGTTCAGTCAATATACAATATATATTTGGGGGCAATTAGCAGTCTCCATAACATAATTCTTTGGCCTGGTGGAAATTGTTAAACACGCTCTTGTAGATGCTTATTAAGTTGATCTCATTCTAAAACTGACTCTGCTAGATACTGATTGATTTGATCCAGAATGTTTCTTAAACATCCATAATTGCAACAAACTCTGAGGTAGATCACATTTTCAGAACCATGGGGTGCCTGTCTGGCTTGGTCGGTTGAATGTTTGGCTCTTGGTCTCAGGGTTGTGGGTTCAGGCCCCATCTTGGGTGTAGAGATTGCTTAAAAATAAAATCTTAAAAAAAATAATTCAGACCCACTGACTTGACTTGTTATTTAACTACCTCAGTTTCTCCTATAAGCTCTCCTTTCTCTGTGTTCTGTGTTCTCCTTACTCTCTTTTTTTTTCATTCAGTTGCACGATGGTATTTAAGAGCTCTTGATGGTATTTAAGAGCTCGCCAAGCCTTTCATTTCTTATGTGAATTATTTTTCAGTTATCTCTCTTTTCTACCATAGATATATTTATTTTCTAACACAAAGACAGCAATTAAAATGTGTTTCTTATCTTTCAGAGTTGGTGTCCAGGTGTGAGACCAAGAAGTTATCTCCAAAAAGAGACATTTATGAGACAGAACCATCCCGATGGGCTATCATGGAACAATTTAAAAGTCATAACCCTGAGAAGTCCATTTTCAGAGATATTTGGGAATGCAGTAGTCACTTTGAGACACAACAGGAACAGGAGGGCTATTTCAGGCAATTTGTTATCAACCATGAACACATGCCTATATTTAACAGACATACTTTATTCACTCAGGAATTTTATAATAGAGAGAAAATTTTTGAATGTAAAGAATGTAGAAAAAACTTCAGTTACCATTTATTTTTTAGTCATCACAAAAGAACTTATTCTGAAGAAAAACTTTCTGAATGTAAGGAATGTGCAGAAACTATTAATACGTCGTATCTTACTAAACAGAGAATTCAAAATAGTAGCAAGTGCAATGAATGTAAGGAATGTTGGAGGGCTTTTCTTCATTGTTCACAACTTAAACAACACCTGAGAATCCATAATGGTGAAAAACACTATGAATGTAAAGAATGTGGAAAGGCCTTTAATTATGGCTCAGAACTTATTCTGCATCAGAGAATTCACACTGGTGAAAAACCCTATGAATGTAAGGAATGTGGGAAGGCCTTTAGGCAGCGATCACAGCTTACTCAACATCAGAGGCTTCATACTGGTGAAAAACCTTATGAATGTAAACAATGTGGAAAGGCTTTTATTCGTGGCTTTCAACTTACTGAACATCTTCGACTCCATACTGGTGAGAAACCCTATGAATGTAAAGAATGTGGAAAGACTTTTAGGCATCGCTCACACCTTACCATACATCAGAGAATTCATACTGGTGAGAAACCCTACGAATGTAGAGAATGTGGAAAGGCCTTTAGCTATCACTCAAGCTTCTCTCACCATCAGAAAATTCATTCTGGCAAAAAACCTTATGAATGTAGTGAATGTGGGAAGGCCTTTTGTGATGGCTTACAACTTAGTCTACATCAGAGGATTCATACTGGTGAGAAACCCTATGAGTGCAAGGAATGTGGGAAGACTTTTAGACAGTGCTCACACCTCAAAAGACATCAGAGAATTCATACTGGTGAGAAACCTCATGAATGTATGATATGTGGTAAGGCCTTTAGACTTCATTCACACCTTATTCAACATCAGAGAATACATACTGGTGAGAAGCCCTATGAATGTAAGGAATGTGGGAAGGCCTTTAGCTATCATTCAAGCTTCTCACACCATCAGAGAATTCATTCTGGGAAGAAACCTTATGAGTGTGGAAAGGCCTTTAATCATGGCTTGCAATTTAATCTACATCAGGGACTTCATACTATTGAGATGCCAGTAAGGTTTCCTCTCCTTTCTCCCCATCTTAGTCTAGCATCATGATATCATTTTTAGAAATATAGGTTTTCCTTTAATGTAAAAGTTGGTAAAATAACTGAATTTCATTAGTGTTGATTTATTTCAGTAATCCTTGGGAAAAAACTTCAAGTGGAAAAATGAAAAAGTAATTAACAGGTAAAAATTCTTAATTGCTCTGGTTCAATTGCTGTTTCTGGGCTGTTATAACACCCAGTATTGGAGATAATTTTATAAAGTAGTGTTTTTACTGAAACTAGTGAAATGTGGCAGAAATAAAATCAAAACAATTTCTTCTCATTTCACAAATCCCTGAGATAGCCAATATGGGTGTGTAGCTGTTTCCTGCTCAAGCATACCTGCAAGGATGAAGGGTTTATTGGATGTGAGTGGAAGGTTATACCACCTAGAATGATATATTTCATGGCAATTTCTTTTTGCACAAATAATTGCAAACATTTTCTCAGGTGAATACATATAGATCTAACTCACTGTTTTAAAGCTTTAGAATATTTCTAGTATGGGGGGCGCCTGGGTGGCTCAGTGGGTTGGGCCGCTGCCTTCGGCTCGGGTCGTGGTCTCGGGGTCCTGGGATCAAGCCCCGCATCGGGCTCTCTGCTCGGCAGGGAGCCTGCTTCCCTTCCTCTCCCTCTCTGCCTGCTTCTCTGCCTACTTGTGATCTCTGTCTGTCAAATGAAGAAATAAAATCTTAAAAAAAAAATATTTCTAGTATGGGATATATATCTGTATTTTAAGCCATTTCCTGCTCTAGACATTCAGTTGTTTCTAAACATTCTCACATCATTCTTTTATTTCCGTTGGGTAGATTACCACCCATGTACAGTGTAAGTATGTTTTGATGTTATGTTGATTTTTTTTTAATTAAAAAATTTAGGTAATAAAAGCACATGCTACAAAATTCAAAAGCCATCAAACAAGTAAAGTAAAAATTGAAGCTTCCTTAGTATCTGGACCCAGGCGCCCCAAACTTTTTCTTTTAAAAAGACCAACTCTTAGGTTTTATTGATCCTTCCTATTGTCTTTTTAAAAATTTATTTTTTACATTTCTTTTCAGTGTTCCAGAATTCAATGTTTATGCACTACACCCAGTGCTCCATGCAATACGTCTCCTCCATAATACCCACCACCAGGCTCACCCATCCCCCCACCCCCCTCCCCTCCAGAACCCTCAGATTGTTTTTTAGAGTCCACAGTCTCTCATGGTTTGTCTCCCCCTCCAATTTCCCCCAACTCCCTTCTCCTCTCCATCTCCCCATGTCCTCTGTGTTATTTCTTATGGTCCACAAATAAGCGAAATCATATGATAATTGACTCTCTCTGCTTGACTTATTTCACTCAGCATAATCTCTTTCAGTCCCGTCCATGTCGATACAAAAGTTGGGTATTCATCCTTTCTGATGGAGGTATAATACTCCATAGTATATATGGACCACATCTTCCTATTGTCCTTTTTTTTTTTTTTAAGATTTTGTTTATTTATTTGACAGACATCACAAGGAGGCAGAGAGGCAGGCAGAGAGGAAGGGAAGCAGGCTCCCTGCTGAGCAGAGAGCCCGATGCGGGGCTTGGGATCATGACCTGAGCCGAAGGCAGAGGCTTTAACCCACTGAGCCACCCAGGCACCCCTGGTTTCTGTTTTGATCCATTGGTTGTTCAAGAGTGTGTACTCCTGAAAATTTATTATTTTCACATATTTGTGAATTTTCCAATTTTCCTCCTGTTTGTAGTTTCAAACTATTGTGCTCAAAAAAGTAACTTGATATGATTTCAGTCTTAAACGTGCTACGACTTGTCTTATAGCCTAACATATGATGTATCCTGGAGAATGTTGTGTGTGTTCTTGAGAAGAATGTGTATTCTGCTGCTGTTGAATAGAATGTTCTGTGTATGTATGCTAGTTCCATTTGGTCTAAAGTGTTATTCAGGTCCACTTTTTTCTTACTGATTTTCTGTCTGAAATAGCTATCCATTGTTTAAAGTTGGATATTGAAATTCTCCACTGTCCTTTTATTGCTTTCTATTCCTCTCTTCAGGTCTGTCAGTATTTGCTTTATATATTTAAATGCTCTGTTGAATGCATACATAGTTATAATTGTTATGTCCTCTTTATGAATTGACTATGTAGCGAACCTTGAATGTAGCGAACTATGAATTACTATGTAGCAAGCCTTGTCTCCTGACAGATTTTAACTAAAACTCTGTTTTTATTGATTTAAGAATAACCACTTCTGCTCTCTTGATTACCATTTGCACAGAATGTCTTCTTTCTTTAAAAAAAAAAAAGATTTTGTTATTTATTTGAGAGATAAATCAAGCAGTGAGGAGGGGTAAGGGGAGAGAGAGAAGCAGACTCCCTGCTGAGCAGGAAGCCTAATGTGGGGCTCGATACCAGGACCCCATGATCATAACATGAGCCGAAGGCAGACGCTTAACTGACTGAGCCACCCAGGTGCCCCAGAATATCTTTTCTATCCTTTCATTTTCAGCCTATGTGTGTTCTAAAGCTAAAGTGATTTTTTTTGTAGGCAGCATATTTTGGGATGTTTTTTTCTTCTCCCCCCCCCTTTTTTTTTGATTCAGTCAGCTACTGCATTAATTAATTAATTAATTAATTGAAGAATTTAATTCTTTACAGTAATTATTGATAGATAAGATCATGAAAATGTGCCATTGTCATTCATTGTTTTCTTACTGTATTGTAGTTCGTTTGTTACTTTCTTCCTGTCTTGCTATTTTCCTTTGCAATTTGATGATTTTTTCCCCAAATTTTTATTTTTATTTATTTTTTTTAGAAGACTTTGTTTTGGAGGGCCTGGGTGGCTCCGTGGGTTAAAGCCTCTGCCTTTGGCTCAGGTTATGATCCCAGGGCCTGGGATCGAGCCCTGCATCAGGCTGTCTTCTCAGCAGGGAGCCTTGCATCCTCCTCTATCTCAGCCTGCTTCTCTGCCTACTTGGGATCTCCGTCTGTCAAAAAAAAAAAAATAAAAATCTTTAAAATACTTTGTTTTGAGGGGCGCCAAAGTGGCTCAGTTGGTTAAGCATCTGCTTTCAGCTCCGGTCATAGTCCCAGGGTCCTGGGATCGAATCTTGCATCAGGGAGTCTGCTTCTCCCTCTGCCTCTCCCCGCACTCATTCTCTCAATCTCTCTTGCTCTCTCAAATAAATAAAATCTTTAAAATCTTTAATAAATCTTTAAATAAAATCTTTAAAAAAAATAAAAAGATTTTATTTGGGGTGCCTGACTGGCTTATGGGTTAGGCATCTGCCTTCAGCTCTCAGGTCATGACCTCAGGGTCCTAAGATTGAGTCCCATATTGGGCTCTCTGCTTAGTGGAGAGTCTGTTTCTCTCTCTGTGTCTCCCTCTCTGTCTCAAATAAATAATTTAAAAAGACTATTTATTTATCTGAGACACAGGGAGAGAGATAACGAGAGAGTACGAGCAGGGGAAAGAGGGAGAAGCAGGCTCCCTGCTGAGCAGGGAGCCCAACATGGGGCTCGATCCCAGGACCCAGGGATCATGACCTGAGCCAAAGGCAGGTGCTTAACCAACTGAGCCATCCAGGCACCCCTTTTATTTTTATTTTAAGTAGGCTCCACTCACAATGTGGGTGTCGAACTCATGACTCTGAGACTAAGAGTCTCATGCCCACCAAAAGAGCCAGCCAAGCACCTCTGACGTTTTTTTTAAAATAGATTCCTTCTCTCTAACTTGTGTATCTACTATAGGTTTTTTCTTTGTGGTTACTATGAAGTTTACATAAAACATAACAGGTCTATTTTAAGCTAATCACAACTTAAGTTGCATAGAAATGCCCTGCTTTTATCCTCCCCCCCATTTTATATTACTGATACATTTTACATCTTTTTATATTGTATATCAAGAAATTAGTGTAGCTGGTTATTTTTAATATTTTTGTTTTTTAACTTTCATACTCAAATATGACTTATGCACCACCTTTGCAATTTTAAAGTATTCTGAAATTGACCATTTACCTTTACCAGTAAGTTTTATACTTTCCTAAGATTTTGTGTTGTTACTTAGTGTCCTTTCATTTCAACTTGAATTCTCTATAGCATTACTTTTAAGGCAGTTCTCAAGTTGTGATGAACTCCCATAATTTTTGTCTGTCTGGAAATGTCCTAATCTTGCATGTGTACCTTGCCATATCCATTTTAAGTTATCAAAATCTACTTTACCTGTGTATTAACTTAGTTCCCATGAGATGCAGAAATGTTACTCCTCGGGAGCTTTATTGTTTTATATATAGAATTGCTTTTTAGATCAGTTAAGAGAAGAAATATGCATTTGTGCTCTATTTTTTATAATCACGTCATTACCTTTACTGGTGCTTTTTGGGGTACCATCTAAAGTCACTTTCATTCTGGAGAACTTTCCCTAGTGTATTTTGTAAGGTGGAAATTCCCTCATTTTTGTTTGACTGGCAGTGCCTTTATTTCGCCATTTTAAATTTTTATTCATTCATTCATTAAAGACATAATTAATTAATTAATTTAGAGAGAGTGCGAGCACTTTTTGAAGAGGGAGAGGGAGAGAATCTCAGGCAGACTCCATGCTGAGCAAGAGCCAGATGGCGGATTCGATCCTGTGACCCCAAGATCATGACTTGAGCTAAAACCAAGAGTCATACACTTAACTGACTCAGTCCCTCTGGCATCCATATTTCACCATTTAAAAAAAAAAAAAAAGACTTTATTTGACAGAGCACAAGTAAGCAGAGGGAGAGGGAGAGGGAGAAGCAGGCTCTCCACCGAGCCGGGAGCCCAATGTGGGGCTCTATCCCAGGACCCTGGGATCATGACCTGAGCCAAAGGCAGCTGCTTAACCTAGGCATCCCATTTCACCATTTTTTAAAGACAGTTTTACTTACATATAAAATTCTTTTGTACAGATTTACCCCCTTCTCCCAGAACTTTGAATATTTCATCCCATTGTCTTCTAGTCTCCATTGTTTCTGATAAGAGACCCACTATTAACATTATTGGGGCTCCCTTTAAGTGATGAATCTTTTTCTGTTGCTTTCAAGGGTTTCTTCTTGACTAGATTTTATTAATTTTACTATGAGGTCTTTGTGAATCTTTGCCTAGAGTTTCTTGAGCTTCTTGAATGTGTACATTAAAGTATTTTCAGTAAATTGGGAAATTTTCAGCCATTATTTCTTAAGTGTTTTTTTCTGCTTCTCTCCTTTACATGTATGTTGGCATTCTTAATGATTTCTCTCAGGCTCTGTTCATCCTTCATTCTTTTTTCTTTCTATTCTTGGAATTACTAATCTTCACATCCATTCTTTTGGCAGCTCAAATCTGTTGAGTTCCTCAAGTCAGTTTTCATTTTGGTTATTGCAGTTTTAAACTCAATTTCTACTTGATTCTCTATAATTTTAATTTCTTTTTTATTTTTTTTTATTTTTTATTTATTTATTTTTTATTTATTTGACAGAGAGATCACAAGCAGGCAGAGAGGCAGGCAGAGAGAGAGGAGGAAGCAGGCTCCCCTAGAGAGCAGAGAGCCCGATGCGGGGCTCGATCCCAGGACTCTGAGATCATGACCTGAGCCGAAGGCAGCGGCTTAACCCACTGAGCCACCCAGGCGCCCCTTAATTTCTTTTTTAAAGTTTTATTTATTTAAGTGATTTTTACACCCCATGTGGAATTCAAACTCAGGACTTCAAGATCAAGAGTCACATGCCCTATGACTAAGCCAGCCAGGCACCCCTCAATTTCATTATTATTATTTGCTCTTTTTTTTTTTTTTTTTAAAAAGATCTTATTTATTTATCTGACACACACAGAGAGAGAGAGACAGTGAGAGAGGGAACACAAGCGGGGAGTGGGAGAGGGAGAAGCAGGCTGAATGTAGACACTTGACCACTGAGCCACCCAGGTGCCACTAATGTTTGCTCTTCGATGAAGAGCAAACATTGATGAAACACTTGATGAAGCATTGTCATATTTTCTTTTGCTTCTTTAATCATGCTTTTTCCTTCAGTTCTTCAAAATAATTTTAATGGCTGCTTTGTTGTCCTTTTCTGTTAAAACTCTCAGACAATTTTAGTTGCTTGCTTTTTTGTCTCTATGTCTGGGTCATGTTTTTCTGTTCTTTGTACGTCTCATAATTTTTTGCTTATAATTAACACATTAAGGGTACCTGGGTGGCGCAGTTGTTAAGCATCTGCCTTTGCGTCAGGTCAGATCCCAGGGTCCTGGGATCAAGCCCCACATCGGGATCCCTGCTTAGTGGAGAGCCTGCTTCTCCCTCTCCCTCTGCTGCTCCCCCTGCTTGTGCGTGCTCTCTCTCTCTCTCTCTGTCAAATAAATAAATTCTTTTAAAAAGTAAATCAATAAAATTAACACATTAGGTAATATATCACGTTATCTATTTTAGCAACCCTAGGTATTGATTTTCCCACTCTGCTTTCTGGACATTGATAATCTGTGGCCCTCCATCAATCCCAAAGTCTTTATTGTTTTATTTTACAGTTGGCTAATACGGTGATATTGTCTTACACCCTTTAAAAGGGATGAGCATAAAGTATTCAGGGCCACTTTTCATAAGGAACCATGCCATAGGGTTCCATGAATGTTTTTCTTCTATAACTGAGGATCAGAATCTGTTTTGCAGAGGCATAGGCAGCACTGGCAAAGGTATTTTGTAGGATCTTGACCATCTGGTTTTAAAAGGAGTATAGATTTGTAGCATGCTACATTGTGACTGCTTTTCTTTCACAGAAGTAATCACCCAGCCGTCCTGAATATTGCACAGGGTGTCAATCTTTCTCCTGCATGCACTGTAGAATGAGTGTCAACGCCTGGTTGCAACACACAAGTAATTGTCCCAGGGTAAGAGTTATTTCCCTGAGCCTAGTATCAGTAATGACTTTGCTGGAATTGAGACATATGATTCAATCTGAGATAGAGTTTTGAGCAAAGACACATGACCCAGAGCTACTTTAAGGAGGGCCTCAATCTCATGCCTGTAAATACCAATTATCAAAACTTCTGATTTAAGTCAGTTAAATTTATAATAGAGGTTTGATAAGACTTGGAAAATACAGCACAAAGTGCTGTACAGCAAAGCTCAAAGCACAAACTCTCCAGACAGCAGCACAGATCAAATAGCGTGCTTTCCAGTAGACAACAACTCAAAATGCATAGTTGCTAAAAGGCAACAGAGCTTGTTAGGAAACCAAAGCATGAGAACACATACCCCTGGTAGTGGTAGCTATTGCTTAGACACTCTACTTGCTCTATAATTTTTGAAGCCACCCTAAAGATGTGGGATCGATTCCCAACTCGAAATTTGGTTTGTATGTCAAGACCGATAGTACCATACATGCACCAACAGGGTATGGAGAGGTTTATTGCGTAGTGAGATTTTCTGGGGAGAAGAAGGGAGAATTCCAAGCAGGTCTCAGAATGGATTGAGAGATAAGGCAGGGAAGAGTGACTTGGGTTTTTTATTGTGCTTACTGGCAGGGCTCTGTAAGGGTTCCCATGAAGAGGCTGGGGTTTGTGTAGGTTGAGCTTCCCCACCTGCACTAAAGGGATACACAGCAGTCAAACGTAAAAAGAGGGATCATACCCTTTATTATATTGTATTGTCCATTACTTTGCAGCAAGCAACCACAAACTTAGCAGCTTAGAGCAACACACAGTCATTGTTTCACAGTTTCTGAGGGTTATGAGTCTGGACACAACCTATGTCCTCTACTTCAAGGTCTTTCATAAGGCTACAGTCAAGGGCTACCTGGCTGGCTCAGTTGGAAGAACATGTGACTCTTGATTTCAAGCCCCATGTTGGGAGTAGAGATTACTTGAATAAATAAAACTATTTTTTAAAAAAAGTCTACAGTCAAGGTATGGGCCAGGTTTTACCTGAAGGCACATCTGGGGAAGGATGACTTCCAAGCTCACATGGTTATTTGCAGGATTTAGTTCCTTACAGGTTGTTAGACTAAGGACATCAGTCTCATGCTGGTTGTTGGCCAGAATCCAATTTCAGTTCCAATTGCTGTATGGGCTTCTTCAGTATGGCATCTTACTTCGTCAAAGCCAGCAAGACAGTAAAGGTCTTCTAGCAAGAAAGAAGTTCTCTTTTGTAACTTTAATTACTTAAGTGACTTCCTAGGATCTTTGCCTTATTCTGTTGATTAGAAATAACTTGACAAGTCAGCCCACTCTCAAGGAAAGGGGATTACACAAAGGCACGCATATCAGGAGTCAGAGATCATTGAGGGACATCTTAATCTTTCTGCCACAGGGAACTATGGCCTTTTACTTGAGCTACTACACATTGGAAAAAGGAAAATACCTAGACATCTTGAAATCTCCCATATGGGGGTCTTACACAGTTTTTGAAAATAAGCTCCTGGTGTGCCACTGGGCTCTGTGAAGACAGAACGCTTGACCAGGTGAAACCAAGTCACCAGGCATCCTGAACTGCCCATTGTGAGAGCTATGTTCCGTCAGAACCACAAAGTGATAAAGTTGGATGAGCCCAGTGCAATCTTTAAGAAAATGGAACTGGTACATTCAGAATTGTGCACAAGAAGTACTAAGGGCACACAGTCTACATGGATATGTCACCCATCACTTACACCAATGTCTCAGATCACTCATAGTGGACATATGGGAGTCCCATATAACCAGCTGAGGATGAAAGAAAAGGGCTGAACTTGACATGCAGTTTTTTGGCTCTATATGCAAATGTAAACTGAAATGAAAAGCAGCAGCATTACATAGAAGCTTCACACGGGAAGCTCTGAGAGGGACATTTTTCTCAGTGGGTGAAACATTAGGTATTGCATTTGGTCATCCACTTCGTGTATAAGAAGTGGCCCAAGAGAAGAACAATCATACTCCTAGGTTAAAATGGTCTAGTCAGGGGCCTAGAAGAAGAAAGGTTGGAAGATGTTATATTAGTCAGTATTTAACCAGAAAACAGAAAGAGTATATATATTTATTGCAGTGAATCTGCTTATGTGATTGTGAGGGCTAAGCAAGTCTAAAATCCGGAAGGGCAAGCTAGAATTCTTGGACATGAGATGAACCTGCTATCCTTGGGCAAAATTTTTTCTTTTTCAGGAATTTCTCAGCTCTACTCAATGTCTTTCAACTGATTAAATCAGGCCCTCCTTAGATTATCTAGGATGATCTCCCTTAAAGCTAACTGATTATGGACTTTAGTCACATCTACAAAATACCTTCACAACAACACCTAGATTAGTGTTTGATTGAATAACTGTAGTCTAGCCAAGTTGACACATAAAAATGACCTTAGCAGTCCACTGCTTATCAACATTTCCTTAAATCACACTCTTCAAATGAAGAAGTCATACTTTCTACTGACATGAAACACTATCCTGTGTACAGTAGAAAACATATTAATGCTTTCCCCAAGAGAGGACGCAAAAGCCCTTGGGTGAGGTTCACTCACATCCTGTAACTGTGATATAAAGTTAACTATTACTAATAAATCTTATGTTTGACAGGGGTAGGAGAGGGAAGGAAACAAAAATATTTGGTTAATATGTATACAAACATAACAAAATGGAGAATCATGCATGCTATTTCTGTTCTCATTTTTACAACTGGCCATGTCGTTATAGCTAGTATTTATAACTATCTCTTTCCACTATACATGCCATATCTACTTTGTCCTCAACAAGTGCCTCAGCTGATTTTGATTCTTTCAGGATAAACCAAATATTCCTGAAGTGTCTCAGCCATTAGCAGTCCTGCCCGAATCCAGTTGTAGTTTTCCATGAACATTAATCACAGGATGTGGTAGTACTGAGACATGCTAAGGGAGATCCTATATTTCAGACATAAGATTCTTTACATTCATTATATATTAGCAGCCCAAATTCCTCCTGGTAATCAGGACCAATCACTTATTGAGTACAGTAACCTCCTCCTTTGCCTGTTGATTCAGAAGCATGAGGAGCACAAAGCAGCCTCAACCCAAGGTGGCAGCTTCAACTTTAAGTTTAGTGGAACAATTATTGTCTTCTGGTGGAAGCATTCCTCTCATTGCAACTAAGCCTTCAGTCCAGCAGAGTCCAAGGTTGCAGGGATGGAAAGCAAAACTTTTGCTAGTGGATCACGATAGGTAATGAGTGGAACCACTCCCATTTGCACTCGGTTCCTGGACACATTGGCACCATATACTGGATGTTGATTTAAAGCGTATATAGCATCTTCAAAGACACTTCCCCAGTCCCACAAATACAGCTATCTCAATGGCACTGAAATCAGGGCTTCAAAAGGCCATTCTAACATTCTATCAAGACAGATTTTTCAGGGGGAAAAAAAAGCTTCTTCAGAATGATGGAAAACATGGTAAGACCATGTGAGTAGCATGAGTATGGGCTCACTGCCACAATTCATTTGCTATGAAATGAGCTCTTTGATCAGAAGCAAATGTTATTTGAAATACCGCAGTGATGCATAAGGTGCTCTATAAGTACCATCTGTAAGATGGTAGTGTGCTGGAAGCACTGAATGCAGGGAAAGAAAAGCTGTATCACCCAGGGAATGAGGTCATTTTGGTGACTCAGTGTTGGTCTTTCCCACTGGCAGACTGGGCCCTCAGCAGTAGCTATAAACAGGATATTCTGGGTGAGTGAGAGTCCATGTTGCTGAGCCTACACATAAGCATCACTGGGGCCATGGTCACTTTGTTTTATGAACCCACTGGGTAATAACACGAGTGGCTGAGAAAAGAAGCTGACTGATACCCTCAGAATTGGTCATCTATATGTGTATTAAGATCCTCCTCTCCTGAAGTAAGCATTCATTCACATGGGACACAAATAACTTCACATCATTTCCCATTCAGAGAAATCTGTTCACATACCACTTCCCCAGACTTCCTTCTAAGTCCCTGACCATCCCACCAAACTATTGGCCACAGCCTATGACTATAGACTCTTGCTTCTGGCCATATTTTCTTCTAGGCTAAATAAACAACCAGATGCCCTCCTCATATTTTTTCCCATTGGGAAGATTTCATCATTGTCCCTTCAAGGAGGTCCCAGAATGGGCTGTAGTGCTGCAGCTGTCCTTATTTGGGTGGTACTTGCATGTCATACAGAACCATCTGTAAGCTGTGTTCACATGTTTCTCTTCCTTAGCCAGCTGGTTGTAGGGCCCTCCCCATGAGACCATAGGATGGGCTGGGAGTGGTAATATCTTAGGAGTAGGGGCCATGTGTATTTATTTAGTCCATTTAATCTTTTTTTTTTTTTTTTTTTTTTTTTAAGAAAGCACGGTGAGGAGGAGCAAAGGGGAGGCAGAGAGAGAAAACCTGAAGCAGGTTCCATGCCCCACACAGAGCCTGATATAGGGCTCAATCTCATGACCCTGAGCTCATGACCTGAGCTGAAATCAAGAGTTGTGTGCTCAATTGACTAAGCCACCCCGGTGCCCCTTTAGTCCACTTCTTCATGCAACTTTGCCTTCAGGGCCTGCTTGAGCCAAATCTCCAGTATACCAATCTCATTTGAGAT